AAGTTTCTTTCTCGAGAGTGCATAGTTTTCGGTACTCCGAGTGGTTTTGTATTATATTCTAAACCAGTTGTAAACAATCGCGTATAATATTTGAAAGCACTTGTCAGTTGAAGTAGAATATAATTTTCTGGAAGTTGGAATTGAAGGAATCTAAAATGCCTTTGCCAGCAGCATTAGCCGCACGTCTTGCGAAAAGAGGGTTAATCACTGGATCCGAAAAGCATGGTATATTTATTTTTCAAAATATAATTACATAACTAATTATATATTGTTGTAAATCTTCTGTATACTGAATTAATTTCCTTCCTATTAATAAAAAATATTCATATAAATTTTAAAGATTATATTGTTACATGATTTGCAATGTTAGGTTATGTCATTAATTTTACAGAAACTGGGAAAAAAGAAGCAAAGAAGAAAGTGCACGAAGAAGTGATAGCTGAAGATTATGATAACACAAAAGAAGAAATTAATCAGATTGACATATCCCAAAAATTTATGGTAAATGTGACTATAAGTCAACATTTAATTATTTGTGCAATAAAACAAATTTAAATTGTTATTAAATAAAAATTTTATTTAGGGTTATAGTGGATGTCCTAATAAATACAATATTTATCATGAATGTACAAAAAAATGTAAAGACTTATGGGGAATGGGACATGCGCAACCTTCGGACAAATATTTGAAACAACAATTGAGATTAATTCAAAAATATCCATTGCCAGAGACTTGGAAAGCTGTTTACGATCCTGGATCGTAAGTACTAATTTTTTAGTTTTCTATGGATAAATTAATTCTTTTCCAAGAATAGTGCTAATTTTTGTCTTTTATAATTATTTAAATATCTTTTTAATTATCTAAATAATTTTTAGTCATTTTTTTTAATAACAATATTTATGACATTATTATTCAATAATATAATAATAATAATATTTGTGATGTTTTATACTGTATATAAGATATTGTATAGAAAAATATTAATTTATCATCTATTCATAGTGGACAACATTATTACTGGGATTGGTCTTCTGATTTGGTATCTTGGTTACCACCTGGTCATCCTAAATGTCAAATATCGCAACCTGCATCTCAATTACGTGAAGAATTGCATTTGAAGGCAGGAGATCAAGATGATAATTTATCAAGTGATGACAGCACTAGTGATCAAGAGCAAATAGAAGTTAGTAATCATAATTTTTTTTTGTGTGTAATTTTTATAGATTTACAGTTTACAATTTAAGATTTACGAATAATATTGTGATTATTCAGGTAGAAGAAAGTGAACCTGTTAAAAAAGACAGAAAAATCGAAAATCGTTCAAGATATAAAGGACCAGATAACAAAAGAACTTATAGATCTGACAGAACCGATGGTAAAGATGCTAAAGATCGTACTTTAGATCCTATGGATCCAGCATCCTACAGTGATATTCCTAGGTACGTATTTCTATTCACAAAAGTTCACAGATTAACATATGTGTACCTCATAAAATTTTTATTTATATATAATCACATCTTAGGGGGAAATGGTCAGACGGATTGGCTAAACATAATGAAGCTAAAACTGGTGCTGACACGACCGCTTCGGGGCCTCTTTATCAAATGAGACCATATCCCAGTCCAGGCGCGGTGCTTCGTTCTAACAGAGCTAATAAAACAGAACCAGAATCGTCCAGCAAGCCAAAAGTTTCATTTCCTGAAAAACCGGAATAAATAAATACACTTTGTGATAAAAAATAATGACTTAATTTTATGTGATTATGTTAATGTATACTAATGATAATAATGTTGGTTTAAATATACTTAATGACAATTATTCTGCACAAGAGATCATTTCACTATTGTAAAATACAGTAAATACTTTTAGATTGATGAGAATATCAAATTATACCTCATAATTATTTGATATTTTTTTACCAATGGAAATTTTTCAGTGTCATGTGAAGTTTCCAAATCAATTATTTGCAATCTGTTATGTAAACGTTACATTAAGCAATAAAGACTAATATTTTAAAAACTATCTAGAAAATACGTAAATATTTCATTGATCCTATTACTATAAAAAAATATTTGTAAATCTGCGAATTTGTACGTGAGAATCTAATAGACATACGATAGATAAATATGTTTTTTTCTCATAACGTGTGACTGTATCCTGGAAAATATTCTTATCAGAAATCGTATCTTTACGATTATGTATAGTATATCGATAACTTCGAGGTAAATTTCAAGATTGAAGTTTAAAGACTACACTATGCCATCGATTAATATAAATAAAACGCAACAATGTTTCGATCTCATTACCTTAAGATGGAGTTGAAAAGAACCTTTATCCATTCGTCGGTTGAATGCAACTGCGGTTGTATACAGAGTGATATATTTTAATCTTATCAGGTAATTATCTCGGAAAGAGTTTGTGAAACAAAATTTTCGAATGAAAATTGCAGGATTGGTAGACAAATAATGAAATCAATTTTCGAAAAAGATTGATTTTTCATAGTCATCGCGTAAAGGTCATCACTATTTTTAAAATAAAATTATATAAATTTTTTTACGTAATATATTTCTTCTAATTATTGTGCATATAAAAATATTGAAGTTGAATTATTAAAAAATCAATAGTTTTTACAAGACATTTTATACTTTATTCCAACACATATTTAATAGGAAATATAAAATATCTCATACACAATTAATTAATTAATAATCATACCTTAATAATAATAAGATTTATAGAAATAAGACTGTTTATGTGAGTATCTAAATATACGAGACGTCTTATACTTTTATGCATAAAATGAAATTAATTAATTTGTGTAAATAAAATATATACTTGTAGAGATATATATAATTTTATCATATTGAAAATTACATAATTTTTCCTTCTTTATCATACCGAATTTTTCAGATAATTTTAACATTATTTGCCTCTCTATCAACGCTCTACAGCTTTCATAAAAAATTTATTATTAATTAGAATCCTTTCTAAAATAAATTGCCTGATAAAATGATTAAAATAAATCACACAGTATAATGCATAAAATGTTAAATATTAATGAAATATTCATTAATGGTATACTCGAGAAAATTATCATTCAAATAAATTATTTTGTCAAGCACGTTTTTATATTTACATTGAGCTATATATAAGTGATTATGGATCGAAAGATAAAGAATACAATATATCATATTCTAGCGATGTTAGTCATCGATGTTTGAACTACCGTATAAACATCATAAACTATATTTATTACGATCTTAAGGAGGTTCTCCGGTCTTTTCGTATAATATAAAGATCCCAAGTAGCAAGCTGCAAATGTAGTCATTTTGACATCAGTTAATCATTTTAAATTATGGATGTACCGGGAAGTATCCGGTATTCAGCCTTATCCAACCTTTTTTTACTATCCCGACAGATAAATATTATTCGGCTGAAATTTTATATTGAAAGTTCGCGTGGTTGATGCAAAATTCTATTCTTTTCAACTGAACTTTTTGCATAATTCATCTTTCCTCTTTTTCTTTTCACGTTGGAGAGGTAAAGAAAATTATTACCATTATTTTTTCCTTGCGCTCTCCCTTTTTTTTGAATAAAATGGAGAAATTTTATCGGATATCCGGAAAATATCCGACATCTGGCCGGATAATTGCCCTATCGGATATCCGACCGGATATCGAATATTCAGTGTCCACATTCTTGTCGGATATCCGATCTCTGCAATGGTATCCGGCAATTTTACGATTCGGTACATCTCTAATAATAACGTCATTTTTTTAATAATTAATGAAGTCATTTATTTATTCATTCTACGACTTCTTCATTCTACGTATTTACAATGTCACACTTAATAACATTAGATAAATGATTAATCGACGACGTACTGGTAACGTTGTTAGTGATCAATTAATCATTCATTTATGCCGGTAATAACACATCGAAAATAATGACGTACTTTTAATTTATAATTTTATTTTAAAAAATATGACATCACATTATACGACGTTATGTGGCTGTGACAAATCTACGTTATTTTTACGATGATAGGGCGTGAGATTCATCCAGAATGATTAATTATCTCAAATAGACGATGCTTTGCTACCTGGGATTTTTCTTAAATTTTTTCCGATTTTTTAATAGTTTTTTTTAAATAATTTTCTAAAATAGCTTAAATTCTTATAAGAAAGAAGATTTTAAGTAATTTAATTATAAACAAAATATAAGAATTAATAAGAATAGTAAAAATATAAGAAGTTTGAAGAGGTGCACGGATATAAAATAATAGAGTTTATACAATATAAGAACATTTTGAAATTAAATAATAAAGTTTTATCTTATCAATTTCATGTAAAAGTATATTCATCAATTCTCTTTAAATTTAATGAAAACATGACAACATATCGTTTCCATTAGAATTATCTATATCTAAGTTAAATTTAAATAATTAGCATAATAATTTTTTTTCAAAATATTTTCCAAATAAATATTTATTTTTATTATAAAAGAAAATATTTTTTAATAACAAATTATAGTTTTACTGCTTAAATTTTATTCATTATTTATTTTTTAGAAGATTGCAACGGCATTTTGCATTCTTTGTTCTCGCGTGTTATGATAAGAAAAGTCAGTAAGTCACATGACTCCCCTCCACTTTTTTAAACTGCAGAATCTCTTTAAAGTAATTGCGCTAAGTTATAAAAAAAACACTGTTTGCTAATAAATTCGATAAGTATGTATTCATTGAATATTTGTTTTTGCCCATTAACGTATCAGTGAATCGGAAGATCTAACGCTGCAGATTTATAGAGATAAACCGTACACTTTGTAATGATCGATAATCGGCGCGTAAACTTTCATACGTGTCTTTATCTAATTTCGCTCCCCTCGACAGCCCAAGGAAGATAAAGCCCTCGGTGGAATGCCAGAGTAGGAAGGAGTGAGGGATCTCCTGATCAACAGAATTTATCATAAATGCCATTACCGTGGTACAGAGTGTTCAGACAGCAGTTTACTGTATTTCGTCCGTGTGATTCTGCGTTGAATAAAAATTCCGTTTCGACGAACGCACGTGGAGGCGCGATTCTACGAAACCGCGCGATATTTACGCGAGGATGAGTAGCAGTAGTATCGCGTCGGCGGTAATCGTCGTTCTTGTGTTCGCGCTTGTTGATAGTGCCGCGGATCCGGGATACGCGCGACTAATCAACGGTGAGTTTACCAACATCGACGGATTATCGATTGTCCATTGTTGTCTATCGTTTCACTTTAACTTGCTCTTATAGTTAGGAGCAATGCCAAAAAGAGAGATCTAGTATAATCTTTGTACTTTTGCATTGTCTATCAATATACAATAGACTTTACTGGCTGCTATTTTGCATATTGGGACGTGGCGAAACAAAGAAAGAGAAATAACAAAAAGAACGATAAAAGAAGAAGAATTTGCATGAATCTCGTGGTGTAATGATTGGAAAAGTGAAAAAAAAACGAGTTCTCACGCTTTCACTGTAATAATAAAAAATTAGGTGTGAATCAAAGTATAATATAGAAAGAAAATCAGGTGCAACACATTGTAGTGTGCTCGCGATTCGGTAATTACTAATAGAAACTTTTACGTCGTTTTTATTCTAATGACCGTCGCACTGATATAAAGTGATAATGTGGCAGTATTATCTAATAGATGCGCAAACTTTCTCAAACTGAAGACCAGATAGACAAAATCTTAGGCCACATAATACCTATTTTGGTAGCGTACATACAGGGCGATTCATTTTATAATCTTAACAGACAAATATTTTGAAAATGTGAAATTTTACCAAAAAACTTTTAAATAAAAGTCACCGTTATAATGTACGTCAACCTTTATACAATACAATTTTCATTTAGAATGTTTTTTGGTAAAATTACATATTTTTGGAACATTTATCTTTTAAGATTAAAATGAATCACACTTATATATATATATATATTTTTTTTAGCAAAGAAATGTAACTTTATGTTTGTTCTTTTTCGAAGAGTTCTGAACTAGTCCTGAACTAGTACAATAAGTTAGAATGAAACAAACTACAATATATCTGTTTCACTCTAACTTATTGCATCAGTGTAGAACTTAGGGTGGAAAAAGAACATATCTTTTGAATTTGCTCCATAAAGAGAGGATCACTTATGCTTGTTTCTACCAATATAGTTTAATTTTAATCTCGGTTCAACTAACTCTTCATCTTTTTCTAGTTTTAAGAATAAGAAAAAGATGAAAAGTAAGTTTAACCGAGATTAAAGTTAATCTAAATACATTGGTAGAAACGGGCATTAAAGTGCTAAAAATAAAAGAGCAAATCCAATTAAATTGTGTATCTTTGCGGAAAAAAGTGTATACTTACATCAGAATGATTCATTTTAATATTAACAGACAAATATTTCGTAAATACTCAATTTTTTTTATCACGATATCATTATCGAATGATGAATGCACGATGTGCATTTGCAACAATTACGCGTAATTATTGCAAATGCACATTGTGCATTCGTCATTCGTTAATATCGTGATAATTCGTGATAACTTCGCGACAATGAATTCACGACGATTCATTGCAACTTTGTAACAATTAAAATTTTAACTGTCACGAATTATCACGATATCATTGTCAAATGACGAATACACGGCATATGGCAATAATTACGTGTAAATTTAGAGAAGTAAAAGTATTTCCATGTTTTTAATGCCAAGGAAATCTCACGGAAGTGCAGACAGCTTTTAAATTGTTGAGACAGAATACCAGCGCGACACGACGCAAAGACACAGTTTTTTAAAGAAAAGATTTAAAATGCACTACTTACTTTAAATTTTCATAATTCGGTGAAGAAAAATTGTAGCGTAATAATTAAAGACGAATTTTAAAGAGAAAATATCATATTTTGCGGTACAATTGAAGAAATTTGCAGAAAAAAATTTTGTTCTCGTACACGCTGTCAAAGTTGAAATTTATTCTTCATTTTTTCAAAGTTCACTAATAAATTAGTGCCTTTTTTTTAGTGAAATCGTTGCAGAGACACAGAATTTAAAGCATTCGAAAGTTGAGATTTCAAGCTTTAAGGTGCTTTTATATGCTGACGCTCGATGCTTATTTTTAGGGTCAAAACAGGTCAGGTGATTAAAAATGACACTTGATATTCATCAATTTTTGTTCACTCATCTGTTTTAATGCTAAAAATGAGCGCTGAGCATCAGCATGAAAAGGCATTTTTAAAACGCTTCTTAAACATCGCCATTATTGTTAATGTTTTTTGCAAAGATACGTAATTTTGAATTTGCTTTCTTTTAGATGACTTTAAATAATCCCCCTTTTTTTAGTAGTGCATGTGTGTGTGTGTGTGTGTGTGTGTGTGTGTGTGTAATAAACGGATTAAAAAATTGTATTATACATATAATCGTATCAATAAAGAACTTATAAATGTAGATATATACATCTATAATTTCTTCGTTAATATTAAGATAAAACTTTGTATCCGTTTATTTATTCAAATTATTTATTTGTATGATTGTTTTTACATGACTGTCTACACTTTGTGTAAAAATAATTACCAGAATGGTTAACTTTGAATTTTAGCAATAAGGAAATAAAAGTATAAAAATAACTGATAAAAATCAAATATTTTACAAATATGTCATTTATTTATATTATTTATGATTAAATATAAGCTACATTTTCAGATATAAATTCTAAAAAATTTCTTAAAACGCATCTCAAACACATTTTAAATTTGCATAAAATAGAAAATATAATTTTATGTTTTTGTATATATGAGCTAGTGGATCGTAAGAAATTAATTATTAGGCCGCATGCCATCCACGGGCCATAGATTGTGCATCACTGTCCTAATTTATTTATTTATTGAAGAATACTTTTATTCAATTTGTAAATGGAAATGTTTACAGTCTTATGAGAGATTATAGTTTTAAGATGCATTTCATATCGCAATTAGTAGTAATTTTGATATTTCTTATTGTACTGTACTCGAATCACGCACTACATTAAGATTTCTTTTGTCTGAGATAATTACAAAGATAATACATGTATTACGTTATCACATCAGAAAATGAAAAATACAAAGCGGAATATAAGAATGTTAAATGTCAAATTTATGTTCGCAGGTACATTAACGAAGCTATATTTCCTTAAAAAACATCTGTATAATTATAGATGCAGAAATGGAAATAAAATATTTTGTAGCGTTGGAAATATAGAAGAGCATTTTAAAAAAAGATATAAAAATATGAAGAACATTCACGACACGAAATTACATTGTTTTATATCTCTAATATAGTTTTAAAGGATTGGAAAAAAATTCAATTTTTCTAATTTTTCCGCGGATTTTTTCGGTTTTTTTTCCCAAGGGTAGAAAAATTCATTTTGGAAAAATTCACACGTGCTCGTAAAACCATGTTTGCTTCTCGGTTCTTTTCGTAAAGAAAATAATTGCGTATATATAGAGTACACAACGGGATAAGTTAACAAAAATTTTGAAATTGTATAAAAGGTTGAGAATGTATTCAATAAAACATACAAAACATACACTATTGCACCATTAATATAAGAATTAAAAATCTAGAATCTAAACATCATGTTTATATGATAATAGTAGGTCTAGAAAATAATTTGGATTCAAACTGAATTCGTAACAAAATATTTGAAAAAAAAAAACTACAAAGAGACACTTCAGGAATTCATTAGACCGGAGTATAACAAACTAGAATCTGATTAAAAATCTGTCTGCTTAAGCTTTGCCATGTATTAAAGGAAGATCAGATTAGATTTTACTATAAAATAGAAGGATAATTAAAAAATTTTAATAAAATTAATGCTACATAATTCGCGATTTCATAGATCGCATTAATTTTATAAAGGAATTTAGAAGTTACTTATTATGTTTTTTACATAGCAAAAACAGCAATTTTTCCAAAAAACCAATTTTTCGGAAAAAAAACCGGAGAAATTTCGGTTTTTTTCCAGCAATTTGAAAAAAAAAGCGGCTTTTTTAAAATTATAATCTCCAATTTGTAACAGAAATTTACCCTAAAGTGCACATAGAAACATTATTCGTGTGTAAGAATAATGTTTTTATGCGAATTAAAACACAAGTTTCAAAAGTGCTAAGAAAAATCCATGTATTTTTAGAATTCTTTGTATTATAAATTTTCTGAAATATTCTAAAATTTCTTATTTCATAATTTCTCCGAAGAAAATTTATAAAATTTAAGCAAATTATGCTATTTTTCAAGAAATCTTTATAAATTTAAAATATGAAAAATTCTTAAAAATGTTATAAGGTACGTATTACGAGAATTTATTTTCATCATTCAGAATGGACTTTTACGAAAAATTTGATCTTAGTCTTGCAATTTATATAAGAAAAAAATGTTAGAGAGATAAAAATTTTAATCTTCATTTTTCACGAACATTGATTAATTACTTTACTTAATATGATCAGTCGGAATTTTTGAACATAGACACTTTACTTGTTTGATCAGACGGAAATCTGCCTGCGACCTCGATCCTTAAAGGATTCTCGGAAAATGACTCAGTTCCGAACAACGTTCGCGAATGGACTCAGCTCTTCGCGGAGCAAGAAGACAATAAAGAGAACTGCTCGGAGCGTTCAATTAGGGAGTTTTCGGAGGTGTTCACGTACGAGCAGCGTCGTCACGGTGCGGTGGTACTTCACTTGCTCTTCGGTTTCTATTGCTTCGTTCTGACAGCGTTCGTTTGCAACGACTACCTGTTACCGGCGCTTGACATCATATGTACGCAACTAAACATCAGCACTGATGTCGCCGGAGCGACTTTCCTCGCCACCGCGAGTTGCTTTCCCGAGTTATTTGTCAATGTCGTCGGCACCTTCCTGACCGAGTCTGATCTCGGTGTCGGTACCGTGATGGGCAGTGCGGTTTTCAACACCTTCGCGACACCGGCATGTGGCGCGTTATCGGCGATACAAGTAAGTAATGCTTCAAGTATAAGTAGGGGAGACCGGGAACAAAAGTGATATTTTGACTTCGAAGTGTTATAACAGTTAAAATATGATACTTACATTTAAAAAATATGTATCTTTAGATATAGAATTTATTTAGATACAAAATTTTCTTTGGTTTAATTATTTTATGTAACTAGAAAAAAAGTTATGTTCGTTTAAAGACTATGAGGAATTTTGTTACAACCGTCCCAACTCCCAGGGACGATAGTAACAATTATAACAGTAGAGGGGGATAATTGTACCACATTTGCCAGAAGTACGTAACACAATAACAAGAGTTATACTTTTTCTTGCAGCTGCATAAATAGATATCTGGTCTTTCATAACTTCTTTAAATGTCTGTTTGTATAAAGACAAATAAGAGAAAAACTTCTTTTATATAGTTTTTCTCTTATTTGTCTTGTGTTTTCTTGGGATTCTATGAAGAAAAATACAAATAACATTGTACAAAATAATACTAAAATAAAATCAAGTAAGTTTGGGAATAATTGTAATGTTACAACCTGACCCCAGGCATTGATGTTACTATTGTCCCCTAATGATATTTTATGATATATAATAAATTTTAAAAATAAAAACCTAAATAAAAATCAACCCAAATGTACAAACCATCAACGCAGATAGTCATTAAAACATATTATGATAATACACTATACCTTCATTATAAAGAAAAACAAAATATTTTAGATTTTGTGCACGCAATAAGACTTACTTGATGCATGAAAAAAGTAATTTTTGCTCCTGCACTCGTGCACGTTCCGCGAGAATCAGCATGTAAGGAACGATTCAATATCGATTTGTCTATTTTACCATGCAGCCGCATACACATATCTATTATAGTTTAAGAAATATTAACGATGTTACACTATTATCCCGTGTTACTTTTGTCCCCGTGTTACTTTTAATCACACCTGTTTGTATTTGAGAAGAAATGGTAGTATACCCTGCTTATAGAAATTTAATACTGAAAAGTAGTGATTAACTTTACTTTATATTAAAAAAATATTGTTATAATACTTATAAAAATATTTGGATAATTGTCATTTATCATGCTTTTTTAAAATCAATAGTATTTCAAACATTATATATTGGAAAGTCAATTTCTTCGGAATGAAATTAAGTTTATAATATAGTGACATAATGTTTAGCTCAAAGACATATATGTACATAGACCAAGCATTCTGTAGCTTGAAACCGGAAGATGACAGTTTAACAGGGTCTGTGATTTCATTGCGTCTCTTTTTATCTTCAAAGAAAACAGAGAGCACGGAACCACCTCCATCATTGAAAAATTAAGAATATATTTGTTTTATATATATATATATATGTCGTTGGTATAGCTAAATACCTTGTACTTATGTATCTAAATTTAAAGGGTACTCTACGAAAAAGTACAGGTACAGGTATGTGCCGCAGTACTTTTGCAGACTTTTGCATAACTCATAATGGATGGTTTATAAGAGAATCAATCAATCCAAGTTCGTCTTTTTCGTGAAACGGAAAGAAAGGAAGGATTCTGATTGGTTGGCTCCCTTATGCACTATGCGTTATGCGTTATGCAAAAGTCTGTGCTGCGGTCTTATCTCTGCCTACAAGCACCTAGATAATGCATAGATACTGCTAAAGTACCTAGGTACTATACTAAGTGATGTAACATACCTAGGTACTTATATCTAGGTATGTTACAATACTGATCGAATGTAGAAGCAGGCAAGTCGCAACGCAGATGTTGGCAAGTTTAACCCCCAACAAGTGTAGTTAATTATACTAATTATTATAGTAAATTAGAATTCCTGATATTAATACCAATGATGCAGAAATATTTCATATAAGATACATAAGATAGTTTATATATATATATATATAGTTTAAATCAAACATCTATACTGAATTGTTAAAATGAAAATATCGCATTTAGAAAAAAGTTTCTATTTGAGAAAGAGATTTTTACAGACTAATTTCTGATGTAAACGCTGTTTGTGAAATTAATATTACCCTATAACATTATTTAATTATTATTACTCTTTCGACAGAATGTCTCCTATCATCTTTATCGATACATATTACATGATATGATCTGAAATTTTATTAATTTTTTATTGTCTTTTATTTATCATCTAGATTCTAGATCATAGATCACTTTATACCTTATCTATTAGTTTTTCAAAACATTTTTATTACGAGTGTTACAAACTCTTAACTCTTAAAGAAATGGACTAAGAAAAATATAACTTTTATGAAGTAAGCTATGGAATTGTACAAAATGACTTATAATGCATTATTAAAAATTAAATTTGCTTTTCCTTTAATAATAATTAGAATTAGATCTAATCATAATTATCTATTGAGATTTAATAATTTTGAAATATGACTGACTAGAATTAGCTTTTTCCCTCTTGAAGTGCTATAATTTAATATGAACCAACTTATGTGAAAGAAAAAAAGGAAACGATATCAAATAGATCATATACAGTGCCAGAAAATGATACAAATATCTGCAATTAAGTAACATCTTGCGTAATAACATCTCACGTAGTATTATCGTCTCTTAGCGCTCATGATTACTTTAACTGCAACTCATTGTTTACGACACTTAATTCGAAGTAAAACTAATTGAAGTAAAGGTCAACTGATTATACATCTCGAAGAGATTACACATTTCTTCTATTAAATAGTATTTTTCAAAATTTGTATCTTCACTTCATTATATATATATAATCTAGACATAGAAATCGCTTAGAGTAAACATAGTAATTCGCGAAAGAAGATTTATTATATCATCAGATATATAATGTCACTTTAATTAAAAGATAAAGGATTCTTGTTTATCCATTGGTGGATATCCAAAGGGTTTTTATTTTAAGAAAGAAGAATGCGATAAAATATAACAAAAATTAAATTAGCCATATCAATTTATAATGACTTCAATCAAACATCTTCCTTTTTTAATCACGAGGATTGTATAGGAATTATCTCTTCAATCCTAGATAATTAGGTTTATTTATCTAACCGATTTCGTTGGCATATAAGATAACAATTTTTTGAGAAATAATTGTTACGTTATATAATTCTGACATACTACAATATAATCTACATCCGTTTTACGTTACTTCTTAGCTAATATGCCATGATAGTATATCATTCCGTTCAACGCCATTTATTGTATCATTAAGATTATTTTTACAATCTCGTTCATCCCGTAAGAAGTATCTCAAAGACAAGGAAATTCTTATCCATGAATATGAAGTACAAACTTTACTTTTATGACTGTTTATTTTAGAATTGTAAGCCGCACCTCAATTAGAAATCTACGTGTCACCGAAAATTCTTTATTAAATTTCGTTTTATTTTGTAGATATATACCTTGTCAAAACAAATAACAAATATAACATAAAATATATTTACAAAAATATTTAAAAAATTTAAATTTCATACGTCGAATTAACGTATGCTTATTCTTAAAGCTTCTAAACATGCTTATCCTTTTAGAATTAATAACCATGATTGTTTTCAAAAGATGCAATATCTATAATATGTGTATTTCCTATAATTTTGAGAGATTGAGCTAATATTTGCTTAGTGCAAAATAAACAATTTTTTTTATTTCAAACTGTTTGGGATATAAAAATAATAAAAATATTCTACAAATCATCCTATAAATCATATCTCTCTCTCTCTCTCTCTCTCTCTCTCTCTCTCTCTCTCTCTCTCCACCTCTTGCCATTAAATGTTACAACATAGTAGACCAGAAAATTGATTAAACTCAATAAAGCAAATGTCGAAAATAAGTGCTTATTTAAGTGTTAGATCGCAAGATATTAAAAATCTATTATACATAAAACTATGTTAACTATATAAGGTTGCTGGTTTCGTGAGTCTGTTTTATGCTCATATGAATGATGCTTTCTTTATGTTAGCAGAATTTTTTCCTAATATCATTAAATAGTATTCGATAAATATTAATTTATTTTTAATCGTTCACTTTATCTTTGACACTAATAAATTTTAATGCAAATATAAATATGCAAGTGTGTGTGCGCTTAACGTATTATTGTCCTCTTTATGGTACAATATATATTTATGATACCTACAATGCGCAAAACAATGATTTATTTAATTAAAATGATTTTTATGTTCTTTAGCAGGCAATACCATTAGAATGGCGAATATTAACTCGAGATTGTATAATTTATGTGATATCAGTCGTCGTTTTGGTGATCGTAATGTGGGATGGCATAATCCAATTGTACGAAGCAATCATCCTCATGGTACTGCTCATCAGTTATTTGATGATATTATTTTGCAGCAAACTTATTGTGCGCTGGTATAATAAGATCGTGCATCTGTACATCTACAAAGCTCGTAGTACCAATCTTACCAATGAAGAAAGTAAGTGCCATTACTAAATTCTTGAAACTATTTATCTTGTACAATTTTCATGTACGTACGCTTTTCTGAGACAATATTGATCTATATCTTAAAAACGAAAAAACTGCATCAGCACTTCGTATAAATTATCTGTCTACGTGTTATAATATTCTCTTTGTTGAAATTCTGTGTCGATTTTTCATGTCGAATAGTATATTTCAATTTATATGACGTATGGATGTCTATTATATGTATAGGAAAGATAATCGTAACAACACGAAACATTTTAATAAAATCATATTATAATAATATTATATTAATATACAAATAATATAATATTATTTTATATAATACATATTATTTATATATTATTAACAAAACATATATTGTTGTTATATAAATTATTAGAAACGATTACCCATTGTTCTTTATTCTTGTGTTCGAAAAAAATCATTTTTTGTTAAATAGTATCATAATTTCTAATATATAATATAATTGTATGATCAGTAATTTTAAAGAACAATTATCAATTACTTGAGTGAAATGATCTATCTAAAAATTCGCATTTTCCCGCAATGTCCTTCACCCTAATACTTATAATACTTGTCGACAGGTGATGGAGTAATTCAGTATAATCGCATGTGTGTTCGTTTAATGAGAGATATACCGTTTATGTATGAATTTTGCATTTTATTATCCGACAGCGCCCAAAATCAGTCAAGAATCAATGCCTGATGGCCTCTACAGGCCGTATTTTCACGGCGAACTCGTGGTGGAGTATAGAAGAAGCGTAGCGAGCCGGAAGTCTTCTGTTGCTGGCGTAGAGGCGCAGACTCATGTGGAAAATATAGAGGAGTATGTGGAACCAGGTACAATATACGTGCATAATTTTTGCTATACGCAACCTGAATGATTGGACTTAATTTGGATATTATGTATTACGATAAGCAAATCACCAAACTGCTTGCAAATCACTAAATCGCTATGTCTTGTGAATGCTCGTTTTCAGACACCCCATTTGTATGGCCTACTGGCAGTAGATTAAACAAAATATGGTTCTACTTAGTTTGGCCATTAAAATTTGTATTGTTCATTACCATACCGGACACCAGATATAAACGATGGAAAAGATGGTATGTGCTAACGTTTATTATGTGCATAATATGGATCGCGGTGGCCTCCTACCTAACATCGTGGATGACAACTGTCCTCGGTGACACCATCGGGATCCCGGATTCTGTGATGGGTATCACGTTCCAAGCCGCCGGTGGCAATATGCCAGAACTCGTCTCGATCATTATACTTTCGAGACAAGGTAAGCTATCCATATAATGCCCCAGTAAGTTATTTAAACCCTACAACAAGTTATTGAAAGTGGCAATTCCGATTTTGCCTACTGGATTTTTTTATTACCACTAGCGGTTACGAGCAACGGTTCCCTCTTACAAATACGTAGGTAGTTTGATAAGCCAGTGATCTTTTAAAAGCAGATATTGAAAAATAAGTCGAATTTTAATTTAAAAAAAAATAAAAAGTCATTTATGAAACTGCCCACGTAGATTGTAGCAATTTTATAGCAATATTTTACAACATTTTTAATAATTTGCGCAGGCAATCATTGTCGGTATAATTCGTTTAAGTTGCCTTAAACCAAATGACTATTGTACTGGTGACAGCAACGTGATGGCGCAACTGAAGGAAACTTGTGTCAAGCAAGTAATTCCTTTTTTATGCGAAGGAGCTTGAGTCAAAATAATGAACGAACCCACAACACAAAGTAACAGTAACATTATAGCAATATTGTATAATTTCCCACTCAACTGTACAGATTGATTTGTTCGGAAAGTCTGCGCGGATTTTTCAGTAGATAAATAAAAATCCAGGACTTCTATGAGAGAGGAATTATTAAATTACTTGAAAGATAGAAAATTATTGTGGAACAAAATGCATATGTTACAGATTAAAATTATTTTTAACTGTTAATTTAAACTAAAAAAAGTTTTATTTGAATTTTGCTTGAAAATTTGTACGAATTTTCTGAACAATTCAATAATCTAACGCCTGTACGTAACAGTTAAGTTACATTACTGAGTAAGAACTAACCTCTACTATACATTGTAATGTTACTGTTATTTTATGTTTAGCGGGAATTAATTGATCTGTAAAATAAGTACTACTTAGATCGATTCTATTTTTTTGCAGGTAACGGAGACATGGCTATGAGTAATACGTTAGGCGCGAACACGCTCGATATTCTGCTGTGCCTTGGTCTACCGTGGATGATCAAGATCCTTATGTCCCAGCAAGACATCGCAATTGTTTCGGGTGCTCTGCGTTTCAGTGTACTTTCGATCGTTGCGTGTGTAATCGCTTTTTATCTGGTCACCGCATTGTGTAAATATCGCTTGAATAAGAAAGTGGGTGTCATTTGCTTGATATTATATGCGATATTCTTGGCATTTGCATTATCGTTCGAACTGAACGTCCTCTTCATGGTGAACTTACCTATGTGTCCCCCTTAAATCTGCCATTCTCTATATGACGGAAAAAGATGATATTTTTCTGCTCACGAGGAAGATGAGATTAGCAAAAGTAGCTTTTATTAATTTTCAAAATGTGTTCAGGAGACCAAAGTAATAAGACGACGAAAGTAATTAAGTAATATAAGATTGAAAGTGTGTTCTTTTCTTGTTATTTGTAATTTTTTAATTGTAAAAAGTTACTTTTAAAATGTTTTCTTTGTTTTGATTTTTATGTTTTATTTATATTTTATTTCTACGAAATATAACAAAATCTTTCAATACGAAATTATCGATTAAGATATCGTTTTGTATTGAAATAAATGTAACTTGTAAATATATAGTTTGTATAAAAGAGTTTATTAAAGATAGAAAAGAAAAGATTAAAGAAGTTCATACTCCACTTTTCATTTTGTATTTTTTAATAATTGTCCTGTATACTCAATTTTGCATTTAATTTTTTACCGAAAATTAATACCGTTGTTGTTAATATAATATTTTCATATACTCATGCAATATTCGTAAGTTTCTAACAAGGAAAAATTTAATATTCTTGTATTCTGGTTGAGAGAGGAGGTTTTTACAACTTTTATTATAAAAATTATTATATGTATATATAATTTATACACTAGATGTTATATATAATACTGTAAATCATGAAAAGACGCAAAAGTGTATTTGAAGTGCCTATTTTTGAGATGGGCCAACCAATGGCAATCTAACGAGAGTCCGTATCTTTTCATATTGCTCAATTATTGCTAAAAAGTGAATTGTTAATTTGTGTGTGTGTGTATGTGTAGTATTATTATAAAAAAAAGAAATGCAATGCTCGCACGCCAAAATACGTGACTCTGAAGAGGATTGCCGTTTGAAAAAAATTTGTAAACGAGATGCAAATCTCGAGAATTATAAAGATTGCCCATCCCAAGCTTAATATTACTATAGTATAAATCGGCCTGAATCAGCCGTTTTATATTTACAAGCGGATGGCATGACATTTCCTCTTTGATGTCGATTTTTTTCCGCATTTTATGAGCACGAAATACAATTTTGGACCATCCTTTTCCCTCCCATACTTTATCCCTATTTTTCCTCATTAAAACGCTTTCGAATCATCGATAGTAACATGCTCACACACACAGTGACAATGGATAGACGCCAATTATCACAACAATGGTCCCTAGGATCACCGAAGACGCACTCAGCGATAATAGCGAGATGCCCATCGCAGCATTGGTCCCCTTGGTCATCCAGGATGTCGCTAGTGACCGTGATGGATATGCCCAATGACCATTAGGATATCCTCTTAGCAATGGGCATCAGCAGGATACTCCTTGGATAGGCATTCTGGTTACTTCATGCTCTTAAAACGTGGAAATGGTCGGACGATAAAACATCATGATAATTTTATTTTATTCGGTATATTAGAAGGACTCTGCGCGTCGGAAATATTTTTTTTATTTATTTATTTACTTTGTCGATTCGGATATTGCTTGTCTATGGCGTCGCTGTACTCTCCCTTTCTCTTATCGTAATAATAAAGATACGACAGACTTGCCTATGAGGCGGTCAGCGAGATCTACATGTACCTATTTACATGTAAATAGGTGGTAAGTAAAGTAGGCGTTGAAGGGAGCGCAATAGGCCGCGATGACATTGCGCGTGTTTCTTCTATTATCGAATAAATCGCATTACGGTAAAAGTTAAAGAGTGCATAAAAATCGATATTCTCGAAAGACTCATAAGAAATACGGTCCGCTTATATTACATCCTTATCCTTTCGATCAATACTGACCGTTAGCACACTCATCATTCATAATACTAATTAAATCAGTAATTTAATTCGTAAAAATTGAATCGATAAAATATTGATCTAATTGGTAAGAATTATCTTTGTTGAGAGAGGCATAATGAGAAACAAGTTTTGTTTATCTTAAGAAGCGAATAATTGAAACTGGTCTTTGGCAGTATCGCCTCGATCTTAATTCTGTCTTATCTGGATTATCATGAAGCCTATTTTTATCGCGATTATGTCCGTCCAAGAGATTTTGATATTAATTCAAACATATCTCGTCGCAATGTTAATCTTTATTAAGATGCACATGAAATAAATATAACATAAAGTGACGATAAAAATACAAATATAGAAACTGCACAAAAGTTAAAGTACGGATTCATTTTGCATTAAAATAATCATAAGTAATTGAGCACGTACACAAATCTATCAAGTAATTATATTAGGAAAAAAAGTCGTTCTGCCCATTTTGATTTTAATTTGAATTCATTCGATTTGCAATATAATATTATAAGCCACCTGATACGACTGTAATAATGAAACAATACAAAGCATCAATAATTGCAAATTAAAAATAATTTTGTACATCCTTCCCGATCTGCAACGTTAGGACGGATTTTAGCGGCTGTAAAGTGTAATATGGAGGTTTACCTTATAAAAGCTGATGGCATATTAAAATCATATTTATATGATTGGATGAACATTGCATTTCATTTGCTTATCGTTATTAATTATTATTTTATTCTTAAGTCTTGTATTCACAATGCTAGAAATCGATCCGAGATCTCTGAGAAAGAAAATTAATAAATTACATTTAAACAATTCGGACACATGATCAATTATCTTTCTTCGTCCAAATCTTAGATCGATTTCTAGCATCGTGGAAATAAGACTTTATATAGTGATGCCGATAGGCGGTCATCGAGCTCTCGCTGTTTTCTCTGCACGTTTTTCAGGCACGCTTCAGGTACTAATGCCGTGTTTTCATTATCCCTGATAGCTCTCAATATTTCTTTCGATCGCAGGCTACGTACAACAATAGTTTCATCATTGGTAACACGAGCAATTCTTGTACGCATTGTGCATAGGCAATTTGCATTGCGACTGACAATTCAAATATAAAACTTTTGTTTAGGGAACTCCAATGACTTTAAGAACATACTTTAAGAGGATATACTTTTAATCTTCTACAATCAGTTATATTACATCAAAATTGAATTTTAAAATTAATATTACATAGTTTTAATGGTTCGAAACATTCAAATCAATTTTCTGGAAAACTTTTATTCTTTAATTGTGTCGTTGTTGTAGCAAATGAGCGATATATTGTCAAGATTATGAGAGTAACAATCAAAAGATTTAAACTGTAGTCGCTCATTGTTTATTATTGACAAATAAAATGAACCGTTCCATGCAAACATATAATAAGTGATTAATTACTATCTTCCTATACATCAAGATCATTGGAAGTGGGTCCTCTAAACAAAAGTTTTATCTCTTCAGAATGTAAAAAACCAACGGATGATGTCGAGACTCGCGTATCGATAACGATTAACGTTCGATGCCTTCCCTGTCGATGAGATCGCAACGTGTCGGTTTGTAAGCATATATTACTACGCGAATACTATAATTCGTTCAATACTTGGTGCGCGATATTTTTTTTATTTTTTTGATTTATCGTGACATGCTCTCCTTTTAATCATGTCCAAATATTTACACTGGAACCTACTTCGCTGTACCTATGTCACGCATCGGACGAAAGTCTGGTTTGAAAAAACTTCATCAGGCGCGATAAAAGTGTACGTACTGGCAGCTTCCATTAGCCCCCTTTTTTTTTCCTTTTCTGTGAGCACATGCGATATTGTACATTTCCAACAGACTTGGCATTTATCAGTGAGTTGACAAGATTAAGTGGAATGTCAATAACATCGATACGGTATGCGTAAGAAAATTCTCGCGTACGCGTAAAAATGAATATCAACGTATTCTTCATTTGAAAGAGGTCAGTTAAAAATACATGATTGACAATATTTTGATACGAATTAAATTAGATTTTGGAGCACACATAATATCGCAAAAGAAAGATTTTGTCGAGGTTTCTTTCTCAAACTAATTAAAAAAGTTGACCGCAAATTCTTACATTGAGAAAAATGTTCTGGTTGTACCAACAAAAAATACAAATAAAATAAATTTTGATTATATAAATTAGAAATTTGATTACATAATTAAATTTTTTATTATTTCAACTAGAATATTTGATAGATTTAACTGTAAGTGTCTCGTTTGCACCTCTTTGATTGAATTTATTCGAATTCCAACTAATACAAGACTCTTTTTCCAGTGTACATATCCAAAACGTGTAAGACTTTTATATTTATACAATACATGTATTAATATACAGATTATCATTTTTACGGGAGCGAGAAATCTTCTCACGATCGTACACTTGAGCAATGTTCCGAATGATTGGCGAAACGGTGCTTGGTTGGCACGAATCGCATCCGCTGATGACTTCGTCACTTTGGCATGAGGGAACTGCAAGATAAATTGAAAGAATATTGCTCAGGGGCAACGATACTTCGCACAAAGATATAATTATCGAATATTACAAATCTTGCGTTTCTTTTCAAGGTAAATCACCTTCTTCATTTGCAGAAATGTGCTGCATCTCACTTTATGGCAAAGCGAAGCGAAAAGCTATCGTGCGCGGTAAACAAACAGGCGTTCTCTTGATAGAAATGGTTATCTATTCAAGTAAAGAGAGATTCTGAGATCTTTTGTACATAGTCCGGATCTTTAAAGATTCGTCGGTGAACCTATCGTGTATCGTGTATTAGTGTAGAATTTACATTCGGTTTGACCGAGTTTGCGAATATTTAGCGAAAATATCTCGAATGTAGTCATTAAGAAATTGATTACGTCTAAAGAATCAGTCCGGCGAGTTAATGAGACTGAATCAGACTTTGAATTAAAGCGTCGCTCCAGTTCCTCGAATCGTCTTAATTTGTTCTACTGACTGGACTCGATTATTGGACTCGTCAGCTCAATTATTTCGCAATTAATTACTCTTCGTGTAATTTATTTTTCAACCGCATTCATCCTTTAGTACAATGCCTATATTCTGAAAACAGGCGCGAAGTATTTTTTGTAAAAGCGAAAAATCCGTGGCGATGTATTTTATTAGCGCATATATCGTGTATCATGCTTCTCTTATATAACGCAATCGTTTCTCGATCCTCAAACAAATTAGAAAGAAGAGAGGATGGAGAAAGAGAAACGGAGAAAGCGAAGATAAATTGGTGGATAAAATTCGAAGAATCAAGCGC